GAATCTGGAGTTAAAAAGTACAGAGAACTCTTCGTATCGTTGAGAGGAAGCAGGAACTCTATTCAGAACTATTGTATCTAAAAATTGATTTTTCAAAAATTTTTAATTTTTTTTTAATTTTTCAAAAATTTTTTTTATGTATCAGGAACTCTAGGTATTCATGAAATGAAGCTATTGGGCCGCTCAGAACTATTGGATCTCGATTTTCGATGAGAAGTTAGCACCCCATTTTTTAAAAATTGTTTAAAAATACTTATTAAGCGGAACTCTTGTTATAAATTATATAGAACTCTTTGTCTCGTCAAAAAGAAACGGGAACTCTATTCAGAACTCCTGAGTACTACAGTTGGGGTGCTAACTTCACATACCCCTATAACCCCAAAATCAATTTTATCGATCTCGAAAATCTTTAACAAGGTTTTTAAGTTTGTTAGAAAACTTCTCTCCTAAAAGGATTATTAATTAGCTTTTTATCAGACTATAATACGATTTTTTTTAAAGTTTTAACAATTTTAAGAAATATAATTTTCTTAAAACAAAAATCGTTATTTCACAATCATAAATTAGGGATGTGCAATTTTCGAATCGAATCATTAAAAATCGATTCTTTACAAAAACATTACTTCGAAATAGTTAAAAAGAAGTGAATCTTTACAAAGAAATCAATTTAAAATAGTCCCTTTTAGTTAGGAAAATCAATTTTTCGTAAAAATAGATCAGTTTAAAATCACTATTTTTGGGAAGATCGATCTTTTACAAAATAAAACATCCCCCTATCATAAACATTTGAATCAATTGTAATTAATTCTAACAAAACTTTTGGTATTAATAATCGGAAGTCATCCGGATTTTGCCTCTTCGCAAAATCGCTATATTTTTATTATGAGACTGACATTGAGACAGCCATTAATGAGTATCTGGAATATATTATAGAATGTTCTGCGCGGTAGATGACTAGACTGACTTTGCTCGACGGCTGGAGATATTCAGTAGTCAAAACATCATAAAAGATTACTCGAACGAACGTTCAACATTTTACTGCGGAAAAGAAAATTTCTCAAACAGATGATTCGTATGTATACATTTGACAATGGTGGCGTAATAAATAAATATGATGCAATGTCATCAAGCAAATAGTGACACTCTTTAAGAGAAATATCCGATGCCTTCGTCTTCGATGCGGTTTGTAATTCGATTTCATATCTTTGGAAAATGCTATATCTACCATCGCTAATGACTATAACAACTTATACATCTATGCATACACGATTGAGAAGTTGCTAAAAGTAAGTAACTGTTAATTTATAATGAATTGATAAAATAAAATAAAATATGACTCTCTTGATTAATACATAAAAGAAATATACGTTTTGTATGTCTTAAATCCATTAGTGTTTACACATCATCTACTATAAGTTATATCTACCTATAGCTATATATTTAATATAATATTATTATCTCAACATTAAACCAAGACTATCTCTTTTTGAAGTGCAAATTTAAAAAGTTTAACATTTACCACAAAAATATAATTCTAAATAACAAAAATTAATTTTTTAGTTAATTTTCAAGAAAGCTTATTTAGACTACGTTCCAAAACATTACTTTGAATAAAAGAATTAATTTATGGATCGATATTCATAAATTGGTTCTTATTTTAAATTTTATTATGGACTGATATTCATAATTGTGTGTGTGGTTCTTATTTTAAATTTTAATCTGTTTTAAGATGTTAATACAGCTCTGATGTCTTCTTCTCTTTAATAATATGAATATGGTTCTAGGATTCGTTCATACTATAAATACCAAGCCATTAGTTAACTCTTACTCAGAACGAGATTTTTGAACACAGCTTTGATATGCAAATTGATATTGATGTTTAATAAGTAAAACTAATAAGCCCAAATAAATCAAAAATTTTCTTTCGCGCAATTATATAAAGGAAAGGAAGCGGAAATAAGTGAGGGATTGTGGAACACCACGATATCTTATATAGTTTGCGTTACATT